CGGACGGACGGAGGAGAACAAGAAGAATACTAAGAGTAAACAAACTTAAGGAATTGCTAAAAGTTACAAGCAATGTGCCACAACAAATTTTGCGATGAATTCTTTTTTAATCAAACATTTAAAACTTTTTAATAAGAGCGAAACTGCAAATAAAATAGAAAAGCAAGTGCAAACATAAACTTTGGCCTGCGGGGCGTTTTTAAGTGCTTCAGGTGTGTGCCCGTACCATTACCTCACCGGTTTCTTCAGGTGGGTGTGGACTGTTAAGCTTGCTTTCACAGAGGGAATTGTATTTTGCTACTTTAAAAATACAAATCTAATTTAAATTTGAAGTTTTTCAATGGGTGCTTATCCTAATTGTTTCACTAACTTGTGGGAAATTTAATAGTCTATGGACTAAACAACAAAATTTTAGTTACTATTGGCTTTTTTAAGTTGTTTATGAAATACAAATATAGGTAATTTTTTCCCAGTGCTTGGATAGCCAGAAAAACTTATTTTTCCCCAAACTTAAAAGCTACTAACTTTCGGCATGCTCTAGTTTCCACTATTTTTCGGTTAAACGAAAATCCAAAAAATGAGTGGCGAATACGTCACTTGAACTTTATGGAGGGAGGGGTTCGCGGAACTGTTTTTGCTAAACGAACCGAGATAGTAACAACAGCCAAAAACAACCGTTAAATATTAATGGTCAGCGTGAACTTCAGCCTCAATTGGCATTTGGGAGGTTGGGTGGAAAATGTTGGGTGGTGCACCATGCACCATGGCGTGGCCTAGGAAAATTGCGTGCTTAGAGAAAATTTTCAGCTGTCAACTGCAGTTTTTGCAGTAAACAAACCGCAAGGCACGACATGCATCGGGATAAGAAAAACCAACCGACCTGACGAGAGCTTTATAGCGGCGGGTTTTTCCGAGTAATAGATGAAACATTTTCCTTTTCAGACGCCGACAACTTTGACTTTCCTGCGGTGTGAATTAACCTTGGTTTACAAAAGACAAGACAACGCAAAAATGTTGCAATAGTTCAAGTTTTTCATGTCGTTGCATATTTCAACCCCCTTTCCATTCAACAAAAAAAAATATATATATAAAAAAGCACAACAAAGAGGCTGCCTTTGTGAACGCGAGTGTTTTCGTGCAGAGGCGTACGTTTCGGAGCATAATTTATTTAATTAAGATTAACCTTAAGGCTTGCGCAGAATTGCAGTAAAATAATACTTAACAAATTCAGAGAACCATAGAGGTTTTTTATATCTAAATATTTCTCTATTCCAATTTTTAACAATAACAATGTTGAGCTTATTTTTCAGGTTCTCGAGGAATCCATAAATCTTAACACTTTCTTTTCAAGATATTCTAGAAATATATTGTTCCAATAAAATCAAAATATCAATTGTGAATCCCTTTTAAATTTCACTATTTTCGTGTGTTAAACCCCCCTCGGGAAGAAGTCCTGCGTACGCCACTGGGTTTCTGAGTTCGTGTGTGTGTGTGTCTCTGAGTGCTGTTTGAGGTGTAGTATGAATGTGTGTGCGTGAGCTTACCTGTTCATTGTGCGGTGAACGTATTTAAAATTGCAGCACAAACCACTTTAATGAAAACGTCGACTGTGAATAACACAACAACAAAAAAACAAGAAGACAACAACTGAGATCAGTCGGTTTTGCAAAAAGCTTTTTACAGTTGCAGGGCCTCCTTGTGTGCGGGTGCGAGTGAGAGGCAGTGACTGAATGCAATTATGTTGCAGCGGCACGACAAATAATAAGAGAAGACGAAACAGCAAGACGAAGACAGTTTGATAGACACGTGAGTAAATTGCTCGCCTTCTGTCTCTTCCTCTTGCTGTCCCTTGGCCACAAAAGCAAAAGTTCACTTTCGCTGCCCTTCTCTCACTCTCTGCCTTTCTTTCTCCATCGCAATTGTTTCTGCTGTCTTTTTGCTGCTTTCCGTTGTTTTTGTTGCGGCTCCCACAAAATAACAACAAGAGGAGAGTTGGACATGCAATCCAATTACCGTTAGAGTCCAACTGTCTCCCAGCAAATTGCAGTTTTTACTGGCACGTAATATTTAATTAACATTGCAAATAAACACACATACATATATGAATTTCTCTTTGCCCCGCGGCTCTTTACTGTATTTTTTTTGTGTGACTGTTTTAACGTTTCTTTTTTAAACGAAAGCGACGCCTTTAGTTTTTTGACACTTCTTAAGCAGCACCAGCAACAACAAAACACATCTTTCTCGCTCCGAACTTGGCTCTCTCCGCTACGTCGGCGCAGGTAACACCGACACGGCACTCTCTCTCGCACACTCACACAGCGCCGCCGCAAACAGGTAGCGCGTATACATACACTTACACACACGAGAAGACGCAACAACCGAAGCAGAAACGAAACGCTCTGAGACGCGTATTTTTCATTTGCACAATTTTCACAAATCCACTAGTATTCAGATCTTATTCAGCAATTTCAAAGGAATTATATCGCACTTGCTAGCTGAATATGGTATTCGCAATTGGACTGCTGCGCAAGCGCGTTTCAAAAACAATAACGATCAAATGGGATCTCAAACGCCGCCGCACAGAGGGCGCTCCGAACCGTTGAAAAGTTGATTACCGACTGAGAAGTTGTTGCGAGCGCCTGCAGCTCCGCTCTGCGATCGCACAGTGGGATGGTTAGCGATATTTTTTAAGGTAAACTACCTAAATGAGTGATTAGAAAAAGGCACAGAATTCCCAATTGTGACATTGTAGATATTTACAATTACTTTTCTCTTAGCAAACTAGAAATACAAAATAAACTGATATTACATATTTATTTATGAACCCCTTACTGAGATTAATTTTGTATAATATTATTAAGCTCTTATCAGACAATCAAAAAATCGAATTTATCTTAATGAAATAATATGCTTTCAATTGGATTATTAATTAAGTACCGCTAAGTACCAAATTGGCCACTGTGCGATGTCAGCGCTAGCGTTGAAGTCGCGTCGCAGTCGACGCAAGCGTTGGCGTTGGCCGTTAATGGTCAACGCTTCACAGTTAGTCGCAGTGTTGGCAAGAAAAATGGCTGATCTTAGCGGAAAAACAATGAAATAAGTATATTCGTTTCTATTTGTAAATATCAGGAAGCTTTTCTTATCAATAATTATTTTGTTAGTTTTCAAAACAAGATTTTAAATTTCAAATAAATTATTTTATTAATTTGGTATCAAAAAGTCGTTGGAAAAACGATAAACTGGCAACTCTAGCTATATAGTCGGCGGCTTCCAAGACCCTCTGCTGGGGAGAGCGATAAAGCAAGGGAGATTATGGGAAGGAACCCTTTTTCTTTAGAAGTCTATTTTTTGTTATCTTGGCTTAAGGCTTATCCCTTGGTCTTGAAAGCTAGCCTCTTGGTGATTCATTTATCACATTTCATTATCAATTTCCCCCGGATGTGGATATAATTAATCAAGTAATATTAACAACTAAAAGCAAACAAAATTATAGAAAAGTTCTCAATTTACTTATTTTGCATTAATCGCAGACCCTTACCCCATCTTAATGTACGCTCCGATAGGCTTAAAAGTGTAGTTTTAGGAAAAGTTTGATCCTGAGGAACACAAAGTTTTGTAAAAAGGAAACCACTCAGGGACTTCGAACAACTTTGGCTTTAACTCTAGTAACCATTTCAACCGATTGAGCCACGAAGTACTGAAAAAAAGTTTTCACCTTCAACTTTTACACCATTTTGAGGTCTGAAAAGTTCACTTCCGAAGGTGCAATATGAAATTCATGGCCTTTAACTGAGTGCAGTTACTTCAGATTTTTTCATTAAATTTAGACTTTTTCCGCTCTGATTTCCAATCCCCGGGACTCAGGGCTGCGAGCTTTGAGCACTTGGGCCAAGTGGCAATCGATTTAATGCCGCGCCTGCCCGGCTTTCCATCCGGAAAACTCAAGTGCGCATTTGAATTTCAATCAGCCGGCTGCAGCGAAATAAATAAGCCACTGATGACGAGAACGATGAGCTACTTCAGGCCCACTTCTCCTCTGACCGGTCAGTGGGTTTAATTCCCAACACCAACAGTGATGGGAAAGGTACAATAGTTCAGGAATAAATTTAACTTAATACGGATAAACTTGGAAAAATGAACTAATATGAACTCGAAGCTGGAGCTGTTTTTTTTTTTTTTAAAGTTTGAATATTAAATATATTATGCAAGGATTGGTATCAATATGCAACCTTCAATAAAAATAGTCTATGTTTAGAAAAAAAGTACAATTAAATTAAATAAAAGAAAGTTATATCTTTTTGGGTGAAAATATATATAATTTCCTATTTAACGACAGTTGTAAAAAGTAAACAATACATTGTAATAAAGATTACATTATACCATTGCAGGGTCCTAAAAATTTTAGTCAGAAGATTGCAAAGCATTGAAGGAATCATTTCCGACCCTATAAAGCATATATATTTATGATCAGAATGAACTGCCAAATTGATCTAAGTAGGTCCGGTCAAAAAAAAAAATGTTGAAATTTTTTCAAAATTTTATAAGGGGTTACATCGTTAAAATTTTCCATAAATTGAAAAAAAAAAATTAATTTTTTGTATTTGGAAATTGAGTAAGCAGATTTATTAACCTGACATGACTAACCTGACTAACCTAGAAAAGCTTTTCGAATTAAAATTAATTCGTTTTTGGCTTAGCTATAAGTTTTTTAAAATTTGATATATTGACAAAATTGCCATATAAACATATTAATTAATAATGATTTAAATAACGCGAATGTTTTAAGATTAGTAATGATTCGATCCTAGCTTTTCAAAGTTAGTTTCTTTCCAGTTTTTTCGTGTACATATAATAACATCATAGAGGTTTCTGTGAAAGAAATATGTGTTCATAGATATTTTCCAACTCTATTCAATATGGCACGCATCGCCCCTCGTGCCGCCATTGCAGCATCGAATAAATTGTGGATTCCGAGTCCGAATCTGATATTCTGCACTCACCGTTTATGATTCTGGTCAGCTTAGAGCGTCGCGTGGAGGAGGGACTTAGCATGCTCTCCCGCCGACTGCTGCTGGCGCTGCTGGCCCCATTGCCGCCCGGTATCCCATGGTGACCCGTGCCCGCTCCACTTCCAGTTCCGGATCCGGCTGCCGAGTCACCGTAATTGACATTCAGCTGGGCCTGTGCCTGTGAGCCAAAGGAGCTTGTCGTCGATGTGGAGTACAGGCTGCTGGCCGAGGGACGTTTGCTGAACGGGGATGGGGCTCCTCCGGATCCAGAGGTGGAGGTACCTGGCGCTGTGACGGCAAGCGAGGTACGGGGCAGGTCGCTAAACACAATCTCGGCAAAGGAGTCGATGCTGGCCGAACGCTGCAGAGCACTGCTGTCCTTACGCCTGCAAAAAGAAGAAGTAACCAGAATGCTAAAGTCAGGAAACACGAGGAGCAACTCAATGGGTTCTGGTCGGGATTCCGGAGAAAAGCAGGGGGAGAGGGGATGACTAGTGGGACTTGATCTAGGGACAAGTGCAAACTTGCAGAGTATCGTAATTACTTCACGCTGTCGGACATTTTAATGAGCTGCCCGCAGACCATTAAGCGGCACTGCGGTCACTGGCCGGCCTAGTTGCCATAATGTGACCATTTTTTATGGCCAAGTCAACAGAGAAAGCCGCTCGCCGGGGGGAAACGGCAAGGCAAGTTGGCCGGGCTTTGAACACTGCAAAGAAATTATACAAGCTAAGTGGGGGATATACGCAAGCATTTATTGTGACCATTATACTTGTACTAATTCAGCATCAAAAGGCTTATGAGAATTGTTATTATCATATCAAGCAAATCGGGCAATATATTCTGTTTAGAGTAAGAGGTTTTTTTTCAGTGCACCCACAACAGTGGACAGCTGGCGCTAATGCGGTGCTGTGGGTAATGCTGACAAAGTTGACGCATGTTTCCATCCGAGCGTATTTCTTCATTCGAGCTAAACACTTTTCTGTGCTTTTTCCGCACTTTTCTTGATGCCAGCTTGGCTGGCACGCTTTTGCCCATGACTGGCCAAGTTTATGGCCAGCAGCAAATCGAGGCTGAATGGAAGGGGGTTCAAAGTAAACTGCAATTTACGGTCCACTTGACGGCCTAGTAATGGATTAATTTGCCGGCTGCTTGGGAACTGGGATGGGCATGGCTTTGATGGCCATAACTTGCAGTTCACGATTCCGCTAGATGCACAGCAAAGTTTCGTTTGGAAACTTTGTGTTATGCAGCAGCATATTTTGCTGTGTTTACAGTGCCCTGAATTAATTCACAAGCCGCACACACAAATTGGTTGACAACACACACCATCCTTCCACCCCGCCCAGCCGTCGCTCTTTTGCTCATTTACAGCATTTGCATAATCAGAGTCAAGTTGCGAAACTCGACCACATTAAGCACGCCCCAACCTTGGCAACTTTCCCTATGCCGGCAACCAATTTGTCCTCGAATGAAAGCCCATATATTAATGCGGGTTCTATGGGTGTGCGTCTGCTGGTGTACATCACGTCGTATGCGCAACATTTTCAATTAAAACCGCAAAAGCTGTCGACAAATCTCAGCGCCCTCGCAAAAGTTAATTCCAGCGAGAAAAGCGAGGGAGGGGAAGTGCAGACAGAATACAAGACGAAGACCTCTTTGCTGATAGATGCATTTGTACACACACTAATTCTGTTAATCCGAAACCATAATAAACCGAAGCCCGCTCTGCGATCCCTGTCTTTTACTTGTCATCAAACCCACCAGAGACAATTAAGTGAGTTTGCAATTAAACACATTCATAATTTGCCAACAGCTAAATACGCTTAATCAACGCAAATTCAATCAAATTACGACGCTTTTAAGCAACAAACGAAGTGCTTCCCCATGCCCCCAAACGGAACCCTTTACCCATCACTCAGTTTTTCCTTTTACACTCTACAAAAAGTTAGAAATATGTTCAGGGTGTTGGTGATACCAATAACCTGATAGGAGGACTTGATGGCTTTCATTTCTTCAAGTGTTCGTTAACATCCTGTAGTGAACTGTGGTGAGAAAAGTTGTGCTTGTCATCGTCCTCGTTGATGGGGATGGTTGAGTGAGGCTCGGTTCGTATTCGGTTTTGGTACGGGTACGGAAGAAATAGAACCCCAAGCCACAGACATATTTCATGGCAGGCGACAGGCGGTAAAGTAGACCCTAGTTAGCTCTACTTGACTTGCTCCTTGCGGCTGGTTGTCCTTGCCAGTTGTCAACCTTCTCGCTGGCGTTGGCCTGCGATGCAGATGAGGACTGACAGGCGACCATATGCCCTGTGTCCTGGCTGACTAACCTCCGCCAGATTGCAGCGTGTTTGCCGGCAAACCTCAGAGCAGGAGCTGTCGATAATAATGATTGTTATTAACTTATGCATACAGGCGCCGGGGCCCAAGCACTTTAACTAACTGCCAACTGGCGCCAATAAGTCAAGAGACCTGGCCAAACAGAAACTTGGCCTGTGTTTTCCCACCGAAAATATCAACAACAGAGCCAAGAATTCCGTTTGACAAGGTCGAATACACTCAGCAGGTGAGCATGTCGACCTGTATGTTAAATAAACATTCAAACACTGACAAAAGCATTTGTATGATAAGAAATATCTCTGGCAAACATATATATTTTCAGAGAAATAATGATGAACCATTGTTTAAATATAATATACTAAAATCTAAATATCATTTGCTTTTATTGTAACAATTGTTTTTGTAGTACATTAATTTGTGCTTGAATAATTCGAATTCATATAAAAACATTGTTCTCTCTGTAAATTAGGACACCTAATGCTTTCTCCTGAGTGCCTTTTCATGCCTGGTTTGTCATTTTGGCTCCGTATTTACAATTTTCACACAACTCCCCTGAACCCCTCAACCATCTCCATCGCAGGTGATTTCCAGGCAATGTGCCAAGAACAGGTGAAACATCCATGAGCACAATCCTTCCCTTACAAGGATGTGTGTTGTGCTTGAATGTCTCGCACGTTGTTCGCCAAAAGTGGCATGAAATTCTATAGAAATTTTCGGCGTGCCACCAGGAAAACTCCTTAATGCTTTTCAAGGTGCTTTTCCTGGCCAGAACCTGGGGGGGGTGTAACTGTCAAGCTAGTGTGGAAAATGCTCTTAATAAGGGCTGGCTGCTGCCAGTTGATTCAGATCTGGGTTGGCAGACTCAAAACAATTGACTGGGACATGGCTTAGTGTCGCCTGCAAAGTAATTGGATGTGAGTGAAAAGTGCATTTGGGAGGCATTCAGGGAAGTTGGTTAACTCTGTGGACATGAACATGAATGGCGATCGATATCCCTTTCGGTCTCTGATTTTGGCCTGGACAAATGAGCCGTACATTAGGCCTAATGACTGCTGGCCAACTTCAACCGGGGCGACTCTTTCAGGGTCACAACAACTGCCAAATTTTGCGTTTTGTCTGTCGCTCATCATCAGGCCTCAGAGTTTCCATTCGCATTTTCCGACCTTTTATGCGAAACACATATACTCATACACATGGAAAAATATATATACTAATTGGATATAGAAGTTATAGTTATTAAGATTGACACTGCTTACTTTTAGCTATTCCAAAAAGGGTTTTGTAATTAATAAAAAAGGACATTATCATTTAAAAATACATATCCTTTTTTCTAACTAAGTGGTATTTACTGTTCGAATTTTTTCTGAGTGCATGCCACCCCCCACAACAAAGGCCGCAAAGTGAAACTGAAAATAAATCAGAAACTGAATGGCGACGATGCCACACAAATTGATGTTGACATCAGAAACTCGGCAACTTTACCGAGGCTTTTAGGTAAACTTTTGTTTCTTTTTTTTGGACGCGAAGCCTCATGCAATTTATAAAATTTTACACTACATAACCTACCGCTGCCTCCCACGCAGCCAAGCTAATGAGTTTTGTCATTGTATTTGTTTTCACATCTGACTCTCTCTCTGTGTGTGTGTGTTGATGAGGGTTGCTGTGTGCATGGCGCACATGACGTATGCGCAATTTTCAGTTATGGCTCGTTTGCTCAAACTTCCAGTGGCATCTTGTTGTCTTTCGGCTGCTCAGCCATGTAGTTCAGTGGAGAAGTCGGTGGCGGCAACAAGACGCACAAAACTTTATCCACAACATCAGACTGGCAACTCGGTGGCAGGACCTTGTTTTATTGGCATCGCTTCGTGTCTTTCACATCTCTGTCATACCGCGTACATGGCAAGGGTTTTATGAATCTCACAAAAGAGTGAGAGGGGAAGGCTTACCTAAATCAACACTTTTCAAAGATGCCTACCATTATTAATTATTAGAAAGTACCTGGGATAGATCTGTAACAATCTAAAAGATCAAAAAATACCTTATTTATATATTCAAAACAATTTCAAGCTTATTCCTACGTTGTTTCACAAAGTTCAAGTCTACTTAATAGCTTCCTTTCTTTTCTTATCTTATCTTTCTATAACATCCAAACGTCTGAAAATTGTATATTACTATATAACATATGAAAATACCAGGTAACTTATAGTCGACTTATCCAATTTCAATGCTTTAACTCTCTTAAAATGGCTGCAGAGCAAGTTTGGGCTGTCGCTCGCCTTCCTTTTCTTTGGCTGTTGGCTCATGAATAATGCATTCACAATTAAGCCAGTGAGGACTGAAGAAACCCCAACTAAGACCTTAACTGGGGAGTAGCTATTTTCGATCCCCACTCACTGCTAACTCACACCGCCCCTGCAGTTATTATTATGCGCATTGCTGGTTTCTACTTCTACTTTTGCCACTTGCGTACAAGCTCGTTCACTCTAAATTTAGCAACCTAAAGTAATACAAACAGAACAACAAGGACCCAAAAATTTGACTCCTTTTGTTTCAGTTTTGTGCTTTTCGCATTTGAAAATATCAAAGTTTAAACACATAAAACAGCGCTCGGAGTACTCCCATTCTTGCTGCTCTTTGTTCAAATGCACCCTGGGATAAATACTAGGATATCTTGGAAAAAAAATCATCAACTATAATGGATGTAAATAAAATAACCAACAAAGGATATGCATTGCCCATTGTTCTTTCCTGAATGTCCTGCTGTCAGAAAAGAGAGGGAGAGAGAGACGAGCGTTGCAATCAGTGTTCGAGTGGCAGTGGGAGTTTGGGTATCGGGAGGTCCTTTCGTACCTCCTGCGGCTTGTTTGCCAAAATGATTTTACACTCCTGACCATGGTCGCTGGCAAGTGGTCCACTGCAGAGTGGAGACGAGAGTTCAAGGCGTAATCTTTCTGCTCGTAAATTGCTTAAACCCGTCAGGGACATGTGGCACAGTGCACTTCTAGGTTTTATTGGCCAGTCTGGGTTTAGCTCCCCATAAATGATGCCAAACTACAACTTTCCTCTTGTTTCCAGTCGATAAATGTGCTTGCATAATTAATAAGGACACGTTTGATTTAGCCGCAGAGGCATTGAATCGTGTAAATTTTGTAGTAGAAACTGAAGCTAAAATTGGGATAACTCATTTAACATGGATCTCTGCTCAATTATTCAGCATTTGGCAAATCAAATAAACGAATAAAACCGCAAATGAAACAAAAGAATAATTTTTAGTAGATATTTTAAAATTGTACATTGAAATACCTACCACAATTATTTTCATTTAAATTTCCTAAATCCATATTAATTGGTTTTATTTTACCTAATCAGTGCTCTTGTGTCGCAACTTGTTTTATAAGCTTGGATTATTACTTAATTGGTTTCCCCGAGGCATAGCTTATGTTTCCCACAAGGACCTTTAAGTCCACCCACGTTCGTCCAGCTGCGGTTTGATTTGTGCAACTTATCGTGTGGAGCAAGTGTGACGTTAATTAACACAGCATCACCCGGAGGAAGAGCGGGGTAGGTATCCCGGGGCGTGTTAATCCTGCAACTGCATGTGTCTCCATTAGCCTGCCGTGAACCATAACGAATGAAGACAAATGCGGCACTCGACCGCCGGCCAAGCTGCTAGCCTGTCATCACCACGACGTCCACGGGCTCTCGTTCAACCTCATGTGGCCAGCCATTAGGTAGGTGATGGGCACGGGAACACACGACCGAGATCAGCTTTCCAGGTACTTGGGGGTGCAAATGAAATTAGCTAATTGCACCAGCTATCTCCAAGTCCCCCAGTCCACCAGTCAGTCAAGGTGAATGTTGACAGCGCAGAGACAGCGCACTCACAAATGCAGAAGGCGCATGGGACGGGACAGGACAGGGCAGGACAGGATGAGTGGTTGTAAATTACGTATACGCACCTCTCCCAGGACAGACGACGTGGCGCCTCCTCGCCAAGTCCGAGGCCCAGGCCGAGTCCCAGACTCTGGACCGCATTGTCACCCGGCGGCGGTGGCTGCAGATTGGACCTGCCTGCCAAGGCGCTTGATTGATGCAGCAATTTGGCCAGCCGCGTGAAGGTCGTGCTCGATCCAGAGCTGGATCCGGAGCTAGATGCCTCCGCCAGCGGTAGTTCGTGGAGTGTGTGTTCCCGGGCCAAAGGAGTGGTGGCCTCCGAAGAGGCTGCGGCTCGCTTTCGGGCTGCCAGGCGATAGGCACGCGCTGCCACCACATGCGGGGCGGGTATCCTGAAAACGGGAATATTGAAGATTAATATCGCGACGGTGAAAAATGTTCGTAAGTTGTCAGAAGATAACAGTAATCTATAAGGTGCCACCTTTAAAGATCTCCGTCTTAGCTTATTTATTCAGTTATTCTGACTAAGCTAGAGTGTTTGGTTTGGTAGCAGATTTTCTGTGCTTAAATAGATATCTAAACTTTAAAGAGAATTGCTTTGAATTGGTTGAAAATGTAATAAAGTCTGATTTCATTTTATATTGATGGTTGAGCCATCAACTACAGTTGATTGCTTTTTCGGAAATATGTAGTCGTCTCCTTCCGGTAGCCTAGTTATGTTTTTGATTTATTATTATTGGCATTTCTTGTTCCAAATTCCATCCTTTTTTCTTACAGAAAACTATCAAATTGGTTGACTTTTTATTCGTTTTGGACCCACCTGAGCAGCAGGGAACCATCCGCATGGCACTCAAAGTCGTCGGAGAGATGGAATAGTGAGCTATCGCCCAGATGTTGCAGCTGGTGCAGATGCTGTTGGTGTTGCTGCTGCAAATGCTGCTGATGTTGCAGATGTTGCTGCTGCAATTGCTGTTGCTGCTGCTGCTGCAGAAGGTGATGATGATGGTGGTGGTGGTGGTGCGTGGCATGATGCTGGTGCGGTGTGCTTCCAGAGGATTTGCGCCTGTACACCAAATTGCTGTCGTCTTTTGGCAAATTCAATGATTTCACCATCAGCGTGTTGTTGTTGTTGGCCAAATGTGTGTTGTTGTTATTGTTGTTGCTACTGGTGGCATTGTTGTTGCCGGTGGTGGCACTGCTGCTGCTGCTGTTGTTGCTGGCACGTGTGAGGAGCGACCAACGATGGCCACTGGCACTGCCGCTGCGGCTCTTGCTGGCCAGCAAACGTTCATCTGGAAAAGTCAGTTAAATCGGTGGGTGAAATCGTATGTGGGCTTATACCCCAAATGCACTTCCCTTACATTAATCATAACAAGGGCTGAAAAGCTGTCAAAAGTTTTTAATTACATATTCTGTAGCCACAACATGCCACACCCACACATTGCCGCGAAGGCAAGGATAATGTTGTAAAGCGTTTTTCATTATTTAACTATTTGCTTTTGCCTCAAAAAGTGGGGATGATTTTCCCGGAAGCGGACATTCCACGAAAGGAAGTAGTTGAAGCTTCCTTAGTTTATTTTTGAAATGACCTTTAAATTTAATAGAATTACTTTGAGTGGCACATACAGATGATGCGCCATATTAAAGCTTTAAAATAGTATATTTAAATTGAAAAAAACTACAACTCTTAAACTCTCACAGCTATTTGCTGTTTTGTCTAGCATTTCCTTTGAATTTTCTTGTGGAATTTCTCTTTGCTATTTAACTTTTCCAATGCTTTCATAGAATTTTCTGTAGCACACTTTTTTGCGCAGCAAACATTCCCTTATTCCTGAGATTAATTAGTAAATTGAATCTGATTAGTTTACAGGATTCAATAAAATGTATTCAAGCATGGGAGTGCCTTTAAAGCAAAGCAAGGTATTCCATAGTAAGCTGCTTCAAAACTTTATTTTACATTTACAGTCTATGGAAGGATTTAAAAATGAATTCGAGTTGAGAAATGTAAGGCCTGGAATTCATTTCTGCCTAATGGATAATAGATCAATTCGAGTTCGCTTTTGGTTTTAGTTCAGCCACAAGTGTTATCTAACTATATACAAGAAAAGAGAAAAAATGGACTTCAAAGACTTTCTAGGCGGCATAATATTAAAATCAAACTATAAATTGATCTAAATTCTTTGCGATACACAAAATGCATGAGTTAATATTTCCAATTTTCCCCTTAATTACTCCTTTAATAGAATAAACACCGTAAATATCGATAATGAATATGTCTATATAATATATGCCAGATTGAAGCTATTATATTTGCATCATTAATTGGTGAAACGTGATTTTTCAGGTTTTACGGTCCTTTTATAAATAAGCGGCTTATGAAGAACAAAGCAATTTTAATTTGACACTTTATTTTTCCGACTTTTTTGCGATATAATTAACTGGTCATAATTGTTTCGAACGCAATGGCATGTACGCACCCAATTGAAATGTTTGTTTGTCCGTGTGCAGCGAGACGACCGGAAGTCCTGGCACAATAATGGCGGGCAGTGTGCGCGACCGTAACAATGGCGGCGGCAGCTTGCGGCTGCCCGTGCGCGATTGTGAGCCGGATCCGGATCCAGAACCACCGCCGCCCGCACCGCCAGCTCCTGCCGCGGAGGCGCCACTCTGCTGCTGGGCCCTGGAATCAGACAGAGAGAAGAAGAGGTGAAAGTGAGAAAGTGTTAAAGGATGCGACACGTCGCGAGAAGGACACCCGACGGGGCGGAAGAGCAAAAGAAAGTGACAATAATAAGTTAATGCTATTATTTATTAAGTGCGACGAGTGGGGAGTGGCAGCAAGTAAATGCAATTATTCGACGTCCTCATTGCACAGCTCCATGCCATTTCCGTTCCATTTGCATGTGTCAGCCACCCCTATACATTCCAACAGCCCTTTACTTTAATACCCTTTTTTTCTGACACACTGGGTCAAAGGTTAGGATGTTGGAAATAAAAATTATATTCTTTGATGTTTGTCATCTGTGAGAAAAATCTTTCTCAGGGGGTCAGAAAGGGCATAGCTCTCCAATTATTATTGCGATTTGAAGTTTATTTAACTGACTTTTATTTAAGCGGTAAGAGAACTGCTACTGTGAGCGTCCCTTGAGTGCTTAAACTAACTCTTAAATATTGAATATTGCTTTAATCCATCAAACTTCAAAAATATAGAAAAATAGAAAGGAAACCAACTTCTGGAAGCTGAAGTTTATATACCCTTGCAGTTTGGCATTTAATTTGTGCCGGAAATCGATCATAGCAACGACTCAAATCTGAGAATATTTATAATTAATCAATATTTATCGAAATTATAGCATGCCATTTTTGTACGACAAATCAAATTTTATAAAACTCATAACTAAGCTAAAAATGCTTTAATATCAATTCGGAGAGCTGTCCTGTGCTAGTTTTTATTAGGTCATTTATTTTAAATTTTAAAAAGTTCAATATTTTGTAAATTTTTGACTATTTTAAGCCCTTATGAAATTTTGAAAGTTTTGAAAAAAAAAATTGTTTGCGGACATGGCTAGATCGATTCCCCTTTTGATGCTGATCAAGAATATATCTGGTTTATAGGATCGGAAATGACTCCTTCATTGCGTTGCAAGCTTCTGAATAAAATAATACCCTAATTAAAGATAATAATATCAGCAAACTTTCATTAAAAAGTAGTATCTTGTTGTTATTATTCCAAGTATTTAATAGATTTCTGTATCGTGCATATTTCAATATTGTTGAGAGCGTCAGCCCTGACTGTCACTCATGCAATTTGTTTATTAATTCGAGCCACAGTGCGTTGGGCGAGTGTCATTGTCAGCTGTCGATTTGCGCATTTCTGCCCTTTCCATTTTTTTTTTTTTGGCACTCGCATGTGAATTACATTTGATTGTTGTGTGGAAATTACTTTCAACACCTCAAAGACCGCCGCCCATCAAAAGAGGCCGACATCCGCTGTGCACGACAGCTGCCTCTTTTCGTTTTTGCATGAGCTCCTAGATATATTCCTGCAGCCTGTGATGTGTGATTGAATTCGAATTCCTGGCACTCGAACTCGATTCCCAACTCGACGCCTACGCCAGATATGTCTGTCCTGGCAGATGGAACAGCTGCACACCCCGGGTTAACCCATTCCAAAAAAAGGACACTCAAAGCCCACACACCCACCACTTGAACTGCACGCATATATTGTTGTATGCAAAAGAGAAAAAAAAGGCACGATGCTATCGATACTAACAAAAAAATAGAAAACTTTTTATTTGATTTATTTCTGACTTTGACATTTTGCCAAGGCGCCCGAATATCCGCCAGAGTTCCAACGAGTTCCCTGCAAAATTGATGACGATAGCGGAGGGCTGCCAAACGAACAGAAATCAGCAAAACTTTTTCCCACCCAGAGGCATTTACAAGATCCCGGCTAGGGACAAGCACATTCAATAGGAAAGGCTGCACCCGCACTTAGTTTCCTCCTTCCTACTTGGTCCACGGAGTCAGGCTGCAGCAGAAAGGAAAGAATCATGTAAGCAATTTATCTGCGTCCTTGCATAGCCGCCAGGAGGGGCAGCAGTGGCAGGAGTGGCAGGAGTGGCAGGAGTGGCAAAGTGGGCGCGAAACAACAGCGGGCAACTTGAGAAAACATGCGAAATAGTTAAAGCTGCCAAAAGAGCAACACAGCACAATGTCCACACATAAATAAAGGGGCAAATTACATAATGCTTTAGAGAAATAAGTTAAAGTTTATAGGGGGCCCACGAATGCCTCTTTTGTTTTGTTAGCACACTGGCAGAAAAATAAAGAAACTGTCTCAACCTGGATCTTCTTAGAGAATTATATTTTAGGTTTAGGTAACCAGTAAGAAAATACCAATCGAGGAATCATATGAATAAATGTTTCCTTTAAAGACATTTTCAACTTGAACTTCGTTTTCCCCAAAACCGCACATTCCGTGTCTCAGGATAATTCAATTCTGAGGCCTAAAAAGTTTTGGCCAAACAGCATTGGCGTGTTCAAAATGCATGCTCTAGTAATGAATTAACTTTTATATGCATAGCAAATAGCTTAACTTTTAGTTATAAGCCATCAATCTTTATGGGAATCGATTAAGTCAAAAGTCGTAAAAGATTTCATACTATTTGTAGGAAAAGGAAAATAGATTTTTATTGAAATTAAACGGAAGCCAGCTCAACATATTTAATTTCCAAGCTTCAGACTAGAATAAACCTTGATTAATGTATATTCTGTTTGTGGACAATGAATTTTGTTTTAATAATTGTATTTTAATACTTAAGTTAACCTTCAGTTCATGCCTTTCTATACTATATAAGACCCATACCGTTCGCTTTTTTCTGACAGAATACGTCCTCCTGTGACCCTCAAATTAATTATGAATTTCGATTCCCTTTTTTTCTGGCTGTGCAGCCAGCCTGAGCGTTTTGAGTTCCGCCGGCAGGCGCTGTCGAGAGCGTTGAGCACAAAGGCAAACACGCTCGCAGGGACGCAGCATGCGAGTGGCACTGGCACCCACTAAAGGCAAGCTGTTACAGGTCGCAGCAGGGAGCTGCGAACGCAACAAAGCCAGGAAGCAAAGGGCGCCAAAAGCCAGGGGGAAGGGAGGCCCTAGGGTTAAGGACTCGGCATTAAGGATTAAGGGTTGAGAGGTGAGGGGATCTCGGCACGGCCCACTCACATAACTCAAAGCGGATCTACATAATTGACGTGAAATACTCGTAACCGTAAATCGTACATTACCCACCAACAACGGGAGACTGAAAGAGTGAACCAAAAAGGTTAACATGCTGCCGGAATTGCCGTGAAAAGTGTTTTTAAGACGAGGTCCTGGCCTGCGTAAAAGTTTACACCCAGATAATGGAGTCATGCGAGAGAGAGAGGTGTTGTGTTATTTAATGAGTCGCCCAGCAGCAGGGCAGATCAAAGCCATATGAAGTGGGGGTCCTTGAGGGAAAGATTATCATTCAGAGTAACCTCGTGCTTAATTTGTGATTCAATTACAACCGTCGCCTCACTCGTAGATCATCACAATTCACATTTGCATACTTGAATTTAGGGAATCCTGTTTGGCACCTCGGACACTTTCATCCGGGAAACTAATGAAGTTCCTGACCTAAACACATTGAAGTTCTCTAGTAAACATCGGTATCAGCTACATTAACATCAGTTACGACATCATTCCTGTCTCATTTTGGGCGGCATTTTGTCTGAAAAAGGCCAACTAAGCCGAAAGGCTTTGCCAAATTACGCATACGCAGTGTGTGCGCCCTGTAATCCAGCATGTGTGCTTGTGTGTGTGTGTGGAGGAATCGTGTAATTGCATTTGCTGTGTGCTGTGTTTACATGTGCGTGCATAATTAGAGCAAATGTTGTTCGTGTAATCAAATCATCGGATGGCGGACCTTTTCCCGCCCCCAAGGACGAACGGGTTAAAAGAAAATTCCAGGATAAGCGGGTAAACTTTAAGGGAATCTACTTGAAAAAAGAAAAAAAAAACGGGCTGCTCGTGCCTAATTGAGTTTGCCGCTTGGCATTCTTCGGGGGCTCTCTGCTTAAGCAAATGTTGGGCATGCGAATGCCAGGACATAAAAAGCATTTTCATTACGACGACGATGCAGCCAGCCAGGGAAAAAAAAAATTCCAAAAATTTTACTTTGCAGCTATAGCTGGTGGAAAAGCAAGGAGCCTCAGCCACACGCACATTCTCTCATTCAGGACTTGGGGGAAAAACACTCTTAAAGAGCAGTTGTGCAATAAGAAAAAGTAGAATGCGGATAAACATAGCTGCGAATTTCTAACGAGCAGCTTTCCCACCAGACAAATGAGCACTGGCTGCAGGACGTGCATAGGAATCGAGATTGGGGGTTCAACTTGGCCGCTGCCACGACCTCATTTGCACCATGCCACGCCCATCCACTTGGCCGCTAAAGGATTCCCGGGGCCAAGTGCTACGCGCTATTTATCTGGCACCTGGAGGGTCCTTCACACGGTGCATCCGGCCTCGAAAATGCGTTGGCAGGCGAAGAAGTTGACTCAGCAAAAAAAGGTCCTAGAATTTACATAGGGAATAAGGTGATTTTTTCAATTTATTTCTGGGAAGAAAGTGATGCAAAATGTGCAGGCAGTTCTTAGTTTTATTTTGAAAGGATTTCTTGGAAATTATTTGTTTAAAACAGAGTGTACATTTAAATGGAGAGTTATTTATAGTTGAATTTGTCTAAATATTATTAAAATTAAAAGAGTCTTTGAGTTTGTACGTTTTATGTATGTTTTTAAAGCAATAAATCAATTCTGAATATTCTACAAATAGTACTAAAATAACATATGAAGAATAAAAGGATAATTTAAAAAGAGTATTTCATATTTATTGAAGTATATTCCTGACAACTCAACATTGAAGTTTAAGAATGTATGTCATATTTATACCTTTGCTGGGTATTATAATTTTATTCAGAAGCTTCTAAAGATGTGAAGAAGCTATTTCCGACCCTATAAATCATATATATTCTTGTTCAGGATCAGCAGCCGCGTCGATTAAGCCATCCCCGAACAAAAAATAAAATTTTTATAAAATGTTCAACATTTTATAAGGGGTTACATCGTTAAAATTGTCAAAAATTGGCATAAATTTTATTTCTTAAAAGTTAAACTGAGTATGCAGATTTATTAACCTAATAAAAACTAACATAGGAAAGCTTTCCGAATTGAAATTAAACCATTTTTAGCTAAGTTATGAGTATTTTAATCTTCGATTTGTTGAACAAAATTTCATACAAAAATAAAGCTTAGTTATTAAGAATTGTGAAAATTTAATACAGAAATATTATTAAAATCAACTTGTATAATAAAATTAACTTTGTTTAACTTTAACTTTGGATAACTCCTTTTTAAATAATTATATAAATTATCTTGGTATCAGAGAAGCCATTGTACAAGCTTCATTATTTATTTGTTAAATCACTTTTTTAATTAAAAAAAACGATTTGATTTGGTTATTTGAATAGATTTTTAAGCCGAGCTTGTTTGCTGATACTTATTCGATACTAAAAAAAATAAAAAATATAAAAGCAGAATAACTTTATCCCTCAAACGCATTCAAGTTTCGGACCAACAATTTGATGGCCATTCGATGGCAAACTAAATCGCTTTTGATTGCGGCCCAATCCGGCTTCCATCCGCCGTTCAAACAGATTGTTAATTCTGTTTGCCTTCGGCTGCTTGACAATTCGTTGGGCTTTGCCCGGCGGTGCGTCAAATCCCGGGGATCCAACAAATCCCGCTCAGCTCCGTCCCTGCACTGAAATCACCCCCCGCAGTGGTTAAGTAATGGCAAACATTCGACTTACTGTCGCTCCTTGCGCTGCTGTCGCTTCTTCTTGAACACTTTCCTGACGCGCAGCAGGAGGAAGGCGGCCCGGTCCACGGAGAGCGTGGTGCCGCTTTTCTTTGCCGGTCCCGCTGCAGTGTCCTCCATAGTGCTCCCGCTGCTCTCGTGTGGTCCTTCCTGCTGGTGATATTGGTGAGGATGCTCCTGATGCTGCTCCTGCTCCTGTTGAAGTTCCTGCGCTGCTGTTTCGTGTACCGACTGCTGCCGTTGGCAGGTTATTTTGCGGCAGCACCACTTACGACAACTTGCGCCATCGTGCTGGCATTGGTATGCTCCCGGCGTAGTCCTTGCTCACTTTTCGCTTCGGGTTCGTGTTACACTAACGCCTTCACTATCGCCATCTTGGCAGGGAACTGTCGAAGGAGGAACATGGTTATGGCAATGAGCATACACACGCCTGGATTTACATATCCTGGCAGGACCTGCACGTGCTCCCAGCAGCCTCGTTTGTTTGCCCAACAATTGCGTGCCAAGAAGCAAATAATATTGTGCTTGCTTGTCGCAGGACACCAACATCTACACAATTCTATAGCCCAGATCCCACATCCCACATCCCAAAGACCATCGCCCATCGCCCATAGCCCACTTCCCTTCCATTACACACACGCGCAATATGCATTCATATGATATTGTTTTATTTATGATCTGCTGTTATAGCTGCTTAGGTAAGTTGCGAATATCCCGACGTTTTACGCATTTCCATAAACGAATTTCCCCAGCCATGGGACGCTTACACCCAAGGACATTTATCTTGCCACGTTCGGTCTTTTATTATTGTCAAATAAAAATTTAAATTCATGTGGCTTTCAGGACGAAAGGACTTTTACCTAAAGCGACAGTGTTGCAGAGCAGCAGCAGACACCGGACATAAACAAGTGTCCTTACGGTGGCTTTATTTTCGGTCAATGTATCTGTGTTATCTGAGTGTTTTTTTCCTCGAGTTTTTCTCGAGTTTCCCTTGAGTTTTCCTTGAGCTCTCTCTCTTATTGTCAGTGGCAAGCACTTCCATCTGCATTCTCATTGTCAGCTTCATTATCATAATCGTACCTTTTTCCAGATCAATTACGGATTAACTGTCAAGTTTATTGGTGTGCCAAAAAGGGTAAGGGAATGGGGGGAAACGTAATCCCCGGAATCCCAAAGAGTTCTCTGACACCCCCCAATTTCCACCTGCTGTCAATGCGACGTCGCCAGCTGACTCCTAAGTGAGCTTGAGTGGATTTTCAAAACATTTTCAGAACTCACACTCGCACATCCCAAGACTCAACCTCAAGTCGAGCTCACACGCAGGCACTGAGAGAATAATCTTGAGAAATATATCATTTTTATAATGGGAAAGGTGAAAATTTGAATACTATTAAGAAAAATTCCTATGAAAATGTCATTTCTTCTAGTGGCAAAAGCTTGTTTGACTTTATTTCATACTGAAACATTTTGTTTTTAAAAGTTTTGTTCGCTGTACACCACTCTGTGGGCGACAGTTGCCTTGATAAAGGATAAGAAATTGCTTCGCAGCCAAAACCCGGTTGAGGGACATTCCACAAAAGCATCTTAGTGCTGCTTGTCGGTTAACTTAATATTGACTTATTTGCTTGGCCGCAATCGAAAACTATTTACGAGAGGAAGAGAACGAGAGCTGATGGGAGCTCAGGAATCCTGCTAAATCAGTGATTGCTGCACGCCTTCGTTGTCCTTGGTTGAGCTCTCCTTCGAGCCGACAATGATTCCTCTGATAAATGATTATGATGCCGTACATACGTATTTGGGTCACTGGGCGAGGAGATCCTGCCCGACTAACTTGAATTCCTGATGAGCTCTGTTTGCCAGAAATAATTACTGGAAGCTGCTGGCCAAGCAGCACGAATCAAACGGAGCCATTACATTTTGATGAGGGCACTGGCAACGCGGGCATCGAAGCAATTATTTCTTGATTTGATAATCACAGCCGGAAGCTGTCAAGTGCAGATGGATGTCAGTTGCCGGCAAGGAACAGAGTCAAAAAGGACGATGGACACGGCCAATCGAAGAGATAACAGTTACTGCAGGAAATGGGAATATGTGTCTGCCATCGAGAATTAAATTGTTTCATTTCAGAAGCAAGCAGCTGAACGAAATGTGGCCAGAAATGTATTCCTGAATTAAGCAGCTGTCTTTTGTTCTGTTTGTGTAAACCATCAGAGCAAGGACCTTCACTTTTCAAATGTAGAAGTGATTACTAATTAAAAACTCTTCGGAGAAAGATAGAATGAAAGTAAACGTTATAATCCTTGCTATTTCAGTTAATTAGACTTTGGTTTTTGGTCATAAATATCATATCAGTATATACTCCCACAAAGTCCAATCTCTATTTCTTAATTTCCGGAATATCTATACCCGCCAAATGCATTTGACAACATTGGCTTTTGGCCCAGGTTAGCCATCCAGGATACGGTCCCCGGCTTTGGCTCGCAGCCTCGACATCGAGTTAATTGAATGTCATGCCAGGCTCTGCCGCTGATTGGAGCCCGTGCTGCCTCTGTTGCAAGTCATTTCCGTACACGCCCGCCGGCTCCTGTGCTCGGAGCTTAGATTGCGCAATTTGCCTTTAAAGTCAATCATTTCACGCTGCTGCCGCCGCTGCCGCTTAAGCGGGTCCTTTGGCGAAGGACGATAAACGACACATCCTGGACAGGTGGAGATGGCAGCCCCAAACCACATCGGTGGCACGTCACCTGCAGCGTTTCCGCCGTTGATTTATTCGCCATTACTCCGGGACGTGACCGGTTGCGGTTCAGGACTACGACTCTACCACTCTCATCTTTGGCCCGGCTTTTTGGGGGAAAGGATGCCATAATTAAATAACAATTTGGCAGCGAACAGAGAGAGGGGGACAACCGAGGAGCCAATGGCTGGGGACACCCAAAGGACGACAGCACATGTGCAGGATGGCAGGATGGCAGGAGGAGACCTAAGAGCCGTGCTTCGCCATCAAGTGCCTGGCATAAAGCGAACGGGACCAACTCCCTTTATGGGCCAGCAGCACCTCTCTCACTCGCCTTTGCACTTTTCTTTTGCATAATTTTTTATTCGGGACAACAAAGCGCTAAGCTGGGAGCACATCAAATATGTTTAAATATATATGTTAACAGCTGTGCTTGGAATAAGAAGATATACTTTTTAAAGTAGCCTAGGACTTTAGGTTTATATATCTTAATTCAATGATTTATTTAGTATTTTATTTGATATAAAAATAATCTTTAGTAATCTCCCGTACACATTTCGAGCAAAGCTCGAACAACTATTGTTTCGACCGCGCTTGTAACTGCCAAATTTGTTTTCCATTTAGCGTCCAGCTGGTCCAGACATCTACACCTCTCCAGTGGGAGACGGACAGAGTAAAGGCCGGAAATGAGTGCAAATTTATGCAGAAAGTAATTAAAAGTACCGTTGTCCGGCCACGTTTCCTGCCCCGACTGTCTGCTCCTGCGCCTGCTCCTCCGCTTTGGTTACTATTCCAGAGGGGAGGCGCAGCGGGAGCTGGGCGTGGCAGGCATTGTGGAGGAGCTTTGAGATGTTTTTAACGATTTGTTTGCTCTCATAAAAGTAAATTTTAATGAAGTTGCAGCATAAAAGGCGCATAAACACGAGCCAAGTGGCTCGCTGACCTTTGTCCTTTGTGCCGTTTGTGCCGCTCCTGGGGTGCCTGGTCTTTGCTCCCTGCTCCTCGATGGCGCTTAAGTGGTTCCGTTGAGTGTTTGCCTCTGTCTTAATTACTCGGCTTTCGTCTCATTGTCGGCTGGCCACGAAGCCAAATACCAAAACACCTTAAAGCTAACGAGCAGCTCAGTGGCATCCCGCTCTCTTCCAACACCTCTCAGCCAGGACACCTCAAACTAAGCCAAAAGGATCCCAGTTGGGGGGAGAGGGCAGCAAAAAGCACAATCAATTTCATTTGAGCTCGGCACACAACAGCACGGAGGAGAAGCTACAAGGACTCGGTCTCGGAAATCAGTTGGAAGGACCGGTTCTGCCCACCTAATTTAAAGGACTAATTGTCAACATGCCGCATTCACCAAACTGCTAAGGACTGGGGGATTGGATGACAGGATTGAATTGGGGTCTTTGAAATTTCTCGCTAAATTTGTCTCAGACAGCCTAATTGGAATTTGGAATAAGGTGATTTGAGGCGCCTCCTGGGGAATCTTTTCTCAATAATGTTCACACTTTACTCTTCACACTGAGATTATTTATTGCAACTAAAAATACTAAACATTATATTATTAGTTAACAGAAATCTGGTTCAAATAATTCATAAATATAAAAATATTTTAGGGTCTCCAAAATTGGACTTACATAAATCTAAAATAAGATAAACTCTGCTATAAATAACTATATATTTACTATAATCAATATGGCTATAAATCATTTGAGCTTTATTGCACAGACTAATTGAAGGATAATTTGGTCCCTCTACCCTGATTTGTGCCGAAGCCTTTGGCCTTTATTGTCTTAGACATCATGGCAATACGAGTGGCTTCATCGGCTAGCCTGTGTCTGCTCCCTGACTCAAGGAATCCTTATCTAAGGCTAAGCACTCTCGATGCACCTCACTGAAAATTGCCCTAGTTTTGTACAGACTGCCTTGTACCGCCCTATCCCGCCCCCATGGGGGCTGTATGGATATTCTCCGATATCGGCTTTAGTCCTGCCATCAAACTGCCATTTGACCTGCCATCCCAGTTATTATTTGTCTGGCATTGTCTGGCCATATCAAGCCAGTTGCCACTCAACACTCGGCCGGCCAAGCAAAATGTGCGACCTTATCGCCATCTCTCCATGGCCCGCAATATTAGCACTTGAGTACAATTTTGCAGTGTAAATAGCCGGGCCAACAAAAGCCGTTAAAACAAAGCACGACGTCAAAACGGGCGATGAGCGACTGGAAGAGCGTAAATAATGCGGATAAAATGCGACATGTTAACAAGGCGGCGCCTTAAGAGGATTGCGATTGCCTTTGGGGCCTGAATTTTTAGTTGCGTGAAGTGAGTTTGAAGGTGTTCTTTTTTGTCGGCTTCTGGTTGCCTGTATTTAGGGAATTCTCATCAAGGCAACAAGCACTGGCAAGCAACGAAAAACTAACTAAGCAGCGACCAGGAGTTAGACACATCTTCGACAACGGGGCGTATGAGTGTTATTTTCATTCAAGCGTCCAGCCATGAAAATGCCAGCCTTGAAAAGTATTTTTATGTAGAATGTTGATGAGTGCACAGAAAGGAAAAACTTGAAAACATTTACGAAATTATAATATTTGAAATTAATACTTTCAGTGAAAATTAAATAAAATAACATAAATAGAAGTATTAATC